AATCACACAGTGAATTTGCGTTTATTATTATATTTACAAAATACCACCGTTTTTGTCTTGGTCGTATCATTTTATTTTGTTGTATTTATCCGCTACACCTTAAAGGCCGGTCCGTGTAAATATTATCTGACATTAAACCGGTTGGGGACCGCTGCTATAGACTATAACAATGACACCAAGACAAAATTAGACCAAACTGGGAAATTATACTCAGTATGGTAGCAAAATACAGTATCCTCAGCATAATGGGAAAAGAGGAATAAACGTGCAAGACTGCCCCCATGGTAAACAGACTGAAGCAGACTGCTTGGTAACATTTAGTCCATCAAAGACCAATTCCAAGTTCTTCCTCTAGTAGGGCAGGGGTGGCCAACTCCAGGCCTCGAGGACCGGTGTCCTGCAGGTTTTAGATGTCAGCCTGGGTCAACACACCTGAATCAAATGATAAGTTTATTAGCAGGCCTCTGGAGAACTACAAGACATGTTGAGGAGGTAATTTAGCCATTTAAATTAGCTGTGTTGGATGAAGGACACATCTAAAACCTGCAAGACATCAGCTCTTGAGTAGGGATTCTTTAATCTACTGTTCTTTGGCATAAAGGGCAGAAGGTTTATTAGGCTCTACATTTGAATCATGATTCAGCCATCTGAATTAAAAATGGTAGTAATTTGCCTCAAAACAGTATTGCTCAATAGCCACTACTCCAAAAATGTAACTCTTTGAAACAGCGTGGCAAACACAGACTGCTCAGTTTTCAATGTGTTCATACTGTAACAACGATACATTCATCTGCCCTTGACTTCCACGCGGACGTTCAAGATTTTCCTGTGAAGAAGGGACATGTTTGTGCTTTGACACAGTTTTATTTTGACACAGAGTTTATGAACTCTGATGAAGCCTGAGCAAAATATTACAACTACTATACAACTACTGCCCATTTATTAAATACACAACTCTTGAACGAGTCAAACACGTAATTCAGCCATGTTGCTCAAACCACAGAAATCCAATGTGTTTGTCCAGATGTGCAGCAAGCAAAAGATTTATGAAGCTCTTGACATGTTTATTTAATAAAGAGCAAAACAATCAGAGTATTAACGATGCTTTTTATGATTCGTTTGGACATTTGGACAATAGATCCAGCCGAACGCTGGCCTCTTCGCAGCCGCTGACTGATTATTTAAATATTAGCCTTACACAAAGGCGATGACAGAATCATCTGTAGCAAACATGATGATTATAAACGTTGTGTTTGCACAGTGTGGACAGAATTTGTGTAAACTTTTTAATGCTTTTACTTCCATTACATATATATTTAAAAAAGCCATTTTTTGCTGTGGGTTATCCATGTAATAAAGAGATTAATGGTGCATTATTACAGATATTTTGCAATATAAAATGACTATGAATGACTTTTTCTTCATTATATAAACAGTTAGAGTTTGTTGTTATTTCATTTTTGGCTGGGCTTACACCAGCCCTCCTCAAATCCTGATTTATTACATGTGGAAGGACAGATTACCCGTGAGGAGCAAGAAGGCGTACTAGACAGTGCAGATGCAGTGTGCTGGGGGAGAAAAAAAATCACTGGCTATTGAGTGCGATCACGAGCTGGAGAATAAATCTACATTAGGCACATTTTATCTCACAGTTTTGAACCTATGTTTAAAACTTGCTATGCTATAAACGTCTGACATATGAGCCTCTCACTGAAGAGGTATGGAATTCATTTCGGCACAACTAAGCATTTTAATATGATTGGTGCTAATATCATTCATATTGGAAAAATTTCCAGTTGAGCAGCTGAAAATTCTCATATCCGGTGGGACGGGGACCGGCACTTTTTCTTTTAAAGAGGAACAGCAATATTGCATGTCTTTTTGAGTATATGCAAAGCATTTCCCATTTTCCTCCAATAGCACTCGCTCAGAGCAGCCATGGCAAATATCATTAAATGCCCTGCTAACACCCTGCCTCCCCCCCTACACACTTTCGTGCATGTGCAACCTCATATGCAAAACCACCTCTGCCATCTCTCTACCCATACTCATTTTTTCCCCTCCTTTTTTCTTCCTGGCTATCACTCAGTGGCAGTGCACAAGGGAAAGAGAGTGCATTGATCTGCCAAAGTGAGCAGCCATTTCACAGGGTGAGTCTGTGCAGCATTCCTGTCCCTGAATGGGAATTGCTCATTTCACCTGGCCGCCTTGCCAATAGAAGACTAGTGGGAAGCCCTGCTGGAGACGGACAGAGAGAGGGAGGGAGCGCAGGAGTCAGGGCCCTGGTCAGGGCTTGGCAGGCGGCAGATAAGAGCTCCTCATGTTGCTCCTGCATGCACTTACCACTACTGCTAGGGCTCAGCCTGCCTCTCTCTGTCTCTCTCTCTCTGTCTTCCACACACTGACATGCACATACACATAGCTTTTCTCCACACATGTGAGGCACTAATAATAACTTTGGCGTTCTGGTGAGTCAGCCTTCTTTCCTCAGGCAAGGATAAAACTAAAACATGGTGCTTTTATTGAGTCTAAAATCACTAACTGTGGAATTCCCAGAACAGGGCTTTAACTCAGCCTGTAGTCCATTCATTGCCAAGATGCCATGTGTCCTCAAGATCTAATATTGTGACCAAAGCAGGTGCTGATGAACCGATAAACAAGGCAATAAACTATTTAGGATATTCACATGGCCAACATACAGTGCAAGAAATATAGTTTTGGAAATTAAAGTTGCACAGACGAGAACTCTCATGATCAAACCTGATATACTACAATGTGCTAAAAATGTGTAAAATCTGGGCTTTTCCTTGGTATGGTTAGAGTGGGAAGTAGATCGGTGGTGAAAGGATTTTGCACAGCATGTAGCGTAGGTTCAAAGTTAAGTTTGGGCGATAGATTAGGTTTTTGGTATCTATTTTTATTTACAACTTAAAAACTGTTGCTGCTTGGACTTCATCCATCCATCCATTCGCTTCTGCTTATCCTTTTCAGGGTCGCGGTTGGGGTGGAGCCTATCCCAGCTATCCCAGGGCGAGAGGAAGCGTACACCCTGGACAGGTCGGCAGTCTGTCGCAGGACTAACACGTAAACACAGACAAATATTCGCACTCCCATTCACACCTATGGGCAATTTAGAGTTTCCAGTTAATCTAACCCCATTAACTGCATGTCTTTGGACTGTGGGAGAGAACCCACGCAAACATGGGAAGATCATGCAAAAAGAACATGGCTTGATGGCGGAATCTTCTTGCTGTAAGGCAACAGTGCTGCTCACCGTGCTGCCACCAGCACTCAGGTTTGAAAGTTGCAAACGCAGTGATGTGGAAACCTGTCACTGGATGGTTGATGTAATATTGTAGAAGCAAGCCAAAGTATGTAAGACTTCAGTCTTCCTCTGACGACTTTCTTAGCTAACAAGTTATCCCGAAGTAGTAGATATATTAGCTACATTTTCGCCATTTCATCCCCAACTTTGTGGCATGTTTCAAGTTGGTCACACTGATTATTGAAGAGCATTTATTAGCACCCATCCTCAGTAATTCATTCATTTATTTCCAGGCTGGTCTTTCAACTTAGTGGTGCAATTAACTCCCACTGCAGAGTTATTATCATTCTGAATTTTCAAATCAGCTTTTACTTCAATTTAATTTTGACTTTTTGTTTTACATTCAATTTAGGTTCAGGTAATTTTCAGAGGATTTTCATATTTCAATTTAGTTTTTACTGACTTTAGTGTTATTCTTTTAAATTAATATTTTAATTACTATCTTTTATTATTGTTTGGAGTGCACGTGTCAGAGGCAAAGTTTAGGAAAATCAGTAAAGGTACTAGATTATGAACACATAACGTTTTGAAAGCTTAAATTAACATGTTCATCAACTTTTCACATTTAGTTTTTAGTTTAGTTTAACTTTACTATAATGACTTGCTGGATTTGCCCAGTAGGGGGCATTGTGGAGCACACAACCTCCAGCTCTTGGCCTAATGCTAGCTGCTTGGAACGTCTGAGAATATTCCCCAAGCCCATCAGAATATACTGTATGTGCAGACCAATCTTTTGTTTACCTTTGCTTTCCTTTAAGAAATAAAAATAACGGCAAGTGCTAGCATATTGTGTTGCAAGTTACAAAAGAATTTTTTCCATTATGTAAAAAAAAGTTTTTGTTTAGTAAATGGAGTAAATCCAGCCCTAATAAATATCAGCCACAATTTGTCATGTGATATTTTTGCTTGCATAAAAATAACTTCTTGCCTTTTTTAAAAGTTTTATCCTGTTTTTGCAGATATTCATATCAACTAAATCTGTTTATGCCAAGTATATCTCGCTCAGAAGCAAAGCTGTAAGCTTCTCAGTATCTGACTCACCTCTCCAACATCAACCCCCTCCACCCCACGCCCCCAGTGCTCCGCCTCCCCATCCTTCATATGTCCACCTTCCATCCAGCCACTTCATTCCCCCACTTCATCCTTCACATGTTCTCAGATTTATTTCTCTCTATCTCTCTCCCCTGGTCAGCCCACTTCCCTCCCTCCATCTAGCCTATCTCTCGGCTTCTCTCCTTGCTCAGTGACAGTCTCATCACACTCTATCAATCAGGCTCTGAGGCCCGGGTGCAGTGCAGCACGGCATCGCGCAGTCCCGGTCTGGTCCCATCAGTGCCAGTCAGTCTCCCTCACACTCTCAGTCACTTTAAAAAGGTTTAGGTTGCCAGATATAGTCTGTTTCCTCCGCCCCGATCCAGGTCAGGAGATGGAGCTGAGTCGAGATTCAGCTTAGCGCTTGATTTGATGTCACTTGACATATTCTTGGGCCTGTCTCTGTACTCAAAACATGCAATTTACTCTTTTTTTTAAACAAAGATGGTTATTTGGAAACATTATCAGCTCACATACACAAATTTGAAAGTAGAACAAAGTAACCCCGACTTAACGTACTGTTTGAAATTTAAACAAATATATATATTTAAAAGAACAGTTAACATTCTGCTCAGTTTCTTACCTGCCGCAGGCCTCATCCTGTGGTTGACGTCTCAGGAAAGAGAACTACATGCACGAGAAAAACAGAAATAGAAAAAGTATAAGAAAAGCATTTCTCTACACAACGCAATTAGCTCTTACTAAAAATGAATCAACCATGAATTTTTGTATACAGAGCTTTTCAACATTGTTATGTTGCTCATTTAATTAGTTCATGTATTCGGCGCCATTATGTACAAAATGTATAGTTAAGAAACAGAAAAGTGCTTTTGAACCAAATTTCAGTTGAAGGAAGGCGAAAATTGCGCGTGCGGTAGAGAATGACTTAACTGCAGTTATCGATTGACTTTGTGAATTATGAAAACAAGTGTGATTACATTTTCCTTTAAGTAGCACAACAAATTAGGCTTGTTAGTTATTCTGAAAGCAAAAAAAGAAAAAAAAAAGTCTTTTTAAGTCTATTTAATGTGCGGGGAAGATTTTCTCAGGCTATTTTCCTGCTAAATGCATTAGCAGATGCTGCTGTGCCCATACAAGCCTGTGGACTAATATTCTTGTAAATGATTTGCTACTTATTTAACTAACATGGAGAAATGTGCTTTGGGTGGTTACAATAAAAATGAGCTGGTTCTGGGACATTTCTTTCTTTTTTTTTTGGATGAGTTTTAATTTGACTCATTATCTTTTGAAACATTATTGTAGAACTTTATAGCGGTCAAATGGGATGATTAGCAAAGATAATTGTGAATGTCACGAGCAAAGTAGTGTCTCTGCCCGACACTTATCACGCTGACTCAGAGGCAATTTTCCGTGTGAAAACCTCTTCTTTATTTGCAGAAGCTAAAGGAAACAAGCTAACCTGACATTTAGTTGCATTAAAAAAAAAAGGTTTTCGGTTTTACGGTTCTTACATGTAAATTAACATAATTACCCAGGTGAGGATATGGCTGGCCTCTACAAACTGACCTCATCACCGGTGTGTTTTGCCGGGTTCCTTGTTATCAGCTTTCTCTCTATACACGCCGGTCATGCTAATGAATCCACAAATTAAATTGTAGAACAGAGGAATATTAAGGCGCCTGGCGTTTTGATGCCGGGGAGGAATACTCAATTAGGCCGGATTTGGCCTCCGTAATTATTACATTATAGCTAAGATAGCGTTCAATGGCAACAAATGCTCGGACGCACTCTGTTCTATGACGACGGCAATGGGCAAGCAAAGATGAAAATGCCGGCGCCGAAGAGTGAAAGGCTGCAGGGGAAAGAAAAAAAGAAAAAGGCAAGTGAGAAAGTGACAAGAAAGCTATCGCACGGGAGCCCCCGTCTGCAGCAGCCATATTTCATTACACAGCACTGAAGCTTAGGAGGCAATCAAGCATATTTAGCCATCCTCGTATTGCCGCACCACCCACCCCCCCAAAGCAATTATTACTCCCCAGTTTTTTACTGTGCTTTGCCATGGGGAAAATGAGCCGCAGTACTTATCAGCTCAATGCATACACAAGTGAGTGAGGTGGAGGACATGTAGGTATGCATATACTGTATTTGTAAGTGTTTGCGCAAAAAAACCCAAACAAACGCAAAAAATGGGCATGGGCAATGGTGGTGCTCAGAGTAGGTATTTGGGAGTGGAGTGCCGGCCACTCCAGAGCAATAGGTTACCTTCTTTCAATCCCATTAGCTCAGTAACATCAGCACATTTAGGTGCAGCGGGTGGAGCGAGAGGGGGGATACAGAGATAACCATAAACATGTCACCAAAAACGCATTGTTATTTGCATTCATATTGGAAAGAGCCAAATTGATGTGGGGTCAAACAAGGAAGGTGAGGGTTTATGACCTGTGCATAGCTCTGCTGTCAGCAGCTCTGATCTATCGGACCGGCCAGCCTTGTCAGTGCTTTACGCCTGATTATATTATCATGGCTGACGATCAATGGGGATGAATGATCGTTGGTCTGCGGAGAGGAGCAGAATGAACAAAGCAGAACGCAAAGAGTAGATTCTTTAGTAATACAGTGAATGGAAATGAATCCGCCTGGCTGAAGTCATCTAGTTAAGTGATGCATCGCATGCCAGTGCAACACAAAACACTTTCAAAATACTCTGGCTGTGTGTTGCTCTTGTATTCAGTAAGTGATTTTTTTTTCTTTCAGATTTTTTAGTAAAATGGCACAACTATGAAATTTAGGGGGGGGAAAAAGGAAAACCTTCACCATCCTGTGTGCCGGGTTTTGAGCAGCTAATATGCAGTCATTTGGGTGGTGCAGCCGCCAACTGCAGCATTAGTCCCCATCTGGGGACTTGTGTTTTGGTGAAAGTGCTTCTGCATTTGCGAGACTCTTCAGTTCTGGGCATCCTCCCCAAGTCCATAACTCAACGTCCCTCTATCACTCCCATGCGACTGGCTGTCATAATCATCGGCATTATGCTACCTCAATGGGCCTGATTTACAAGTCTGGACATCGCACCAGCTCTGCGCCAACGGGTAAACATGAGGCTGTTTGCTAGCGCCAAGCCTATTTTCTCCATACAACATTTAATGAGCATCAGAGACTGATATTCAACAGAGAAAAGTAGCTTGGATTTGTATCTATACAAGATTGCAAACAAAGTCCTTAAAGAGGTTTTAGCTTTTTGTTTTGGAAAATGTGGGATTATCTTTGCTGCTGCGTAGGTATGAAATCATTTTGGACTGCACTTAGTGGGTGTTTTCATTAGAGATCATTTGACACTTGTTGGATTTATAGGGAAAATCAAACACTCATAAACGATGGTAGACTGTGTAGTATTAGATATATATAATATATGGACATATTAGATGTTTGCTTTGGTACATTCAGAGTAATTTGATCTTTATTTGTTTATCATATTCAAATGATAAAGCTTGTGGGCCCAAAATAGTCAGTCTCTTTACTGATTGGTCAAAGCAACTCAACCCCAACTTGCACCTTGCATCAGTTAGGCTGATAGGTTGGGCCAAGGTCTCACCGTGGTTTCATCTGAAACCTCTGTTGGTAATGACCTGCACCTTTTTTCACAACTTGGCTCCTGCGACGATGCGATGATTAATAGTGGGTCAGCGAACACCTCCAAAGGAGCCAACTCCCAGTAGGGTTTAAATACCTGGGACTCTCCACCTTTTGGTTTTAGAACTGGAGAAGCCTCATCCTGTTAAATCCAGAATTGAATTCAAAATCCTGCTCCTCACATACAAGGTCTTAAATAATCAGGC